GGGCGGAGGCCGCGCACCCACGGCGCTCCTGCGCAGCGCTGGGTAACAATGACCCCTGCACACCGTGTGTTCTCCCCCCCGCAAGCCGTGGCTCTAAAACGTGGTCTCTCAGACCCGAGGAGTTTGACCTGAAAAGCCTCTTTTTCTACTTTTTTTTTTTTTCCCCNNNTTTTTTTTCCCCTCCGCGGGACGGCAACTGTGCGGGGCGTTTCCTTCCCTAGCGCTCGCGCCTCTCCCCAATTCTTGGTATTTCCGCGGTGCCCAGGGCCCCCGAACGGGTATCCCCGCGCCGAGCGCCGCACAAAGGCATCGGGGCTCGGGGCCCCCGTGGCCCCTGCGACCCGGCGGGGCGGGCGAGGAATCGAGGGCTGCCGGGGAGCGACCTCGGCGCTGGGAAACGCTGGCTCTGGCCACTCCCCCAGCGAGTGGCCGCCCTGTGCTGAGAGCCCGAGAGCTAAATCTGCCTTCTCCTTGGAACCCGAAGTTTTGAGTGTTGAGGCTGCAAATCGAGAGATTCAGAACTGCGCGCGCTCGCAGACCCACATGCCTCAGACAAACCCACGGGATATCTGTGCCCAGCGCTTAAAATAGAAAAACAGGAGTCGCCATCTGAATAAAGGCTGATTCTTTAGACTTCTAATTCCCGGACTGGAGATTTCAACTTGATAAATATACAACCTACCCCCCGGGTATTTCCTCCAGCGGCAGTGACTTGAAAGGGTGTGGTGGGTGAGGGTGAGGGAAGCCCAGCCCAACCATCAGACGGCGTTTATATTTTAGGCAAACGGCGAGAATGTAATTTTTTTTTAATCCTTTAATTTGCCTGTCGAAGAAAATGTAAGAAGAAAAATGCAAATGATCCCATCTGCTGCTCACAGCTGGACTGGCTGCAAGAGGGCCATGTGGCCCAGCCCGGCGCGGTCAGTGAATAGGTAGAATAGATTTTAAAATAAGGCATATGCTGGCTCCTTGCTGCCCAGGCTCCGGGAGGGTTTGAATGAACGTTTAGCTTTGGATTACCGTACCTTCCTCCAGACCACTCCAATTGGGAATTCAGTAATTATGCAAGTTCCAATTCGGATTTTAAATAAAAAGCGCAGGGTTACCCATGACCTCTGAGGAGCTACGTGGGGCATTCTCGAACTGGATTTGGATAGCCCATTTTGAGAAGTCAGTACTAATTGCTATGCAAAATTAGCAAGCTGCCAGGAGAATGGAGCCCTGCGTCCAGGGGGTGGTTTTATAAAAGAATCCATACGTGCTCAGTGTCATTCAAAACAGGATGATGAAAAGAATGGAGCCGAGATAGCAGCCCTTCAAATTCAAAAGGCTCGAGTCGCCCTATCTACATTTAAAATAGGGCGGAGGGAGGAAGGGAGGACCGCTGGGCGAGAATGGTTAATTTATACGTTCCCAGAAGACAGAATGGAGGCACTTCGATTTCTGCCGGGGACTTGACTTTTACTCTCGCACACTAAATAACACGTATGATATAGTACATCGCTCGATTTAGTTAACAGATACAGCAGTTTTAGTCTCACCTTCAATTTAATGTGACAGTCATAATTAGAATTTTAACAGTAAAAGTTGCATTTCATTAGTTCCGTTTTCTAGGATTGCCCAGTAGGAGAGAGAGGAAGAGTTAAGAGTAGCATTTAAGCTCACTTTGCATTTTTAAACCTCCAGTTGTTTAAATAACCTCTAGTTTAAAAATGCAAAGTGGTTTAAAAATGTAAAACGACTTTAATTTTTACAAAGGGGACTACAAGTGTGCTTTTTGAAGGAATTATCTTTAGTCACTATCAACTCAGGTATTTAAGGATAAATTAAAACAAGACAATAGAAATTAACATTTCTTTGTTCATATTGTTTGAAACCAAAGATTTTGTCAACTAGAATGATTTTACTAAAAAAATGCATCTAAGGCAACATGCGTAACTGATATAGTTGACTTTTCAAAGCATCTCTCAAACTACACAGTGAGATTGAGAATTATTATAAATATGTATCTTAATTTGCATAACTGGATCAATCTACTTAACAAAGTAAGCTGTTTATTCCAAATAAGTTATTAACAGAAATGGAAATCATTGCTATCTAGGAAAGGAAACTACCTTCAAATGGTTTTGTATGTTTATCTGAGGGATTTTTGGTCTTTTTTAATAAGCTCTGTTTAAAAAAAAAAAAATTCAAGTAAATTTTAAAATCTAATTGGCTTTATTAAGCAATTTATGAATCAGGCAGCATCCCACCTAAAAGAAGGGTGGGATAAGGAATCTATTAAAAGAAAAGAAATGATTTTTAGGCCCGGACATCTTCCTTGGGGGTGGGGGGGGAGCAAATGGCCATGGTTTTTATCATGCAGATTGCCTTTTCTTTCAGTTGGGGGGCAGGGATTGAAAGGGCCACGTGACAGATTACCTCACTGGTGACAGACCAGAAAATTCCAAAGTAGGTAAGATTACACTTTTGGGAGGGGTTGAAACTGTAATTAGAACAAGTATTAAATCTAGGTTTGATATCATGGGCTTTTAGCACAAGTGACACCATTTTGGGCCTGTGGTTTTCTCTTTAACAGGAGGAAGAGAAAATAATACGTATAGGTGAAACCACCTACATTAGAATAGTTGTATTCCAGTATTTTGGAGACTTCAAAAAATAATAGTTCTGAAAATGCTATTGGATAAAAGTAATACCTTATAAAAAATATGAATAAACATGGAATAAGATGAGGAGAGAAATGAGGTATGAAAAAAAAAACTGCTGCTCAACCCAACCCAAAGAAGTCAGTAGGAGTGACTGTTCATGGTTCATAAGGATATGCATGAAGACCTGAAAAAAATAACAATCTGAGTTTTAGAGGTCTGCTTGGTTGGAAATTTCTTAATTAGAAAAGCATTTTTCACGATTTCAAATTAGAGTTGCTGCAGTTGATCTAATGAACTCATTTCCGATTTTATGAGTAAAATGCAGCAGGGGGGAAATTGGCTACTTGACCATATAAAGGACTCATATAAAACACTAATGTAAAATCTCAAATGGAAAATTACACAGCATTCAATGAAGACTGGTATATGTGTGTGTGTGTGTATACGGACACATGTAATGTATATATAATTGAGAGTGGTGGCAAACACTAAGTTTCAGGTATTTGTTAACTATTACTCTAAGGTTTTATCATTGCTAAAATAGAGTTACCAAGACAATATTTAGTAGGGCTTTTTCCCCCCCATTAGTTAAGTCTTAAAACAACACAACAGATTTTGCTGTTCGTTGTGAGACATTTCCACTTTCTTTCTTTCCTGCTGGATGCATAATTTTGCCAAGTCTTCAACTTCAGACAGAAGTAAATGGCAGATCCAGATTCCATGAAGACCCAAAACAGTAAAGAGGGAAAATGAGGGGTAGAGGAGCACTATTAACCTGTAAGTTCTATTTAATAAGGTTAATAGTGCTCCTCTACCCCTCCTCGTTTTCCCTCTTTGCTGTTTTGGGAGATGAGAAGACCTTGGTTCTTTTCTCCTTAGGGAAAGATTTCAATCAAGAGACAAAGTGTAGAAAAGAAAGCAAGAATTTATTGACTGCAGCAAAAATATACTTAG